AGCCAACTCCAAGTCGGGAGCTGGTTTCAACCTTCTTTGGCCACCCTCGTGTGTTTTTCTAGCATAAAAAATCGTGTATTTAAATAAGGACAACTAATAAAAATTGTTTCAAAACTTTAAGTTTTAACCAAAAGTCACATAATAACTTTTATTTAATGATAAAGACAAGAGATAAAAAAACAAAAAAAACAAAAACTTATTCAACCCAAAGCGCGTGTGCACACAAGCAGTGCAAAAGCAAGCATCTACCAATTCAACAAACGCAAAAGCAACACACATTACTTTTTTAATATTTCATTGGGAAGGAAAAGGTTCAAAGAAAGAGAGATTGTGAGGGTAGAGAGAAGAGAATGCCAACCAAATCCATTCAAACTAACATCAACAAACCCCAAAAACAATTTAGAGAGAGAGAGACCGTGAGGGTAGAGAGAAGATAATGCCAACCAAATCCATTCAAACTGACATCAATAAACCCCAAAAAATTTTAGAGGAAGAGAGAAATTTGAGGAAAAAAAAAATATTGCTGACATCAATACATGACTACCACTTAGCCCTACACGTGGTAGCATTTCATCATCACCCCATGTTCAAATTATGGAATTCTTTATTAATTTTAACCCTAACCAACTAAAACCTAAAAATAAAAAAAAAATTAGATTATGATCCTCAATGAAAGCACATTAGCTTTTCTAATCTTTCATTTATGTTTTTGTTGTTAATTTTGTATTGAATAAATTAAAGGAAAATCAAATAAATTGTTCGAAGAAATGTTAAAGAACAAATAGGAATGTGAAATTCATTATTCTAACTCTGTCAGAATATAAATATTATTGACAGTGATCTATATGATAATGAGAAGAGAGCTTCAAATTTTGAACCTTTTAGTGTTCAGTTTATAAAATAGTCAATGTTCAGTTTAAAAAACAGTGATAGTGCTAGTGTTCGATTTTAAGAAATAGTCAGTATTTAGTTTACGAAATAGCTAGTTTTTGGTTTAAGAAATAGTCAATGTTTAGTTTACGAAATAGTGACAGTACTAATTTCCAAAATAGTGATAATACTAGTGTTTGGTTTAAGAAATAGTCAGTGCTTAATTTACGAAATAGTGATAGTACTATTACTTGGTGTTAATAAACAGTGATAGTACTAGTGTTAGGTTTAAGAAATAATTAGTGTTTAGTTTACAAGGTGTTCGGTTTAAGAAATAGTTAGTGTTTAGTTCACAAAATAGTAATAATACTAGCATTCAGTTTAAGAAATAGTTATTGTTCAGTTTACGAAATAGTCAATGTTCAGTTTAAGAAGTAGTGACAGTATTAATGTCCCGTTTAAGAAATAGTCAATGGTTAGTTTAAGAAATATTGTTTAGTTTAAGAAGTTGTCAATGTTTAATATAAGAAATAGTGTTCAGTTTAAGAAGTAGTCAATGTTCAGTTTAAGAAATAGTGTTCAAATTTAAGAAGCAATCAATGTTCTGTTTAAGAAATAGTGACAATATTAATGTTTAAAAAACTGAATACTGAAAATTTTCTTTATTTTTGATCTTATAATATTATTACTTAGTTTGTTCTAAAAAAATTGAAAGGATAGTCAAATAAACAAATAATAAAATAAAAAATAAATTGTTTATGGAGTGAGGTGAAAAAAAAAAACAAATAAATTTGATGTGGATGGTTGAGGTGAAAGGATAGAAAAAATTTGATGGGAATATGCGAAGGAAGGAAAGAGATAAAGAGGTTCAACGTTTGAGTGAGAGAGAGTGTGTATGTGTGTAATGTGATGCGTGGTTTTACGCGTCAGTATTTGTTTTATTAAAGTTTAAGCTCTTTGTATTAAATAAAGGTAGTTAATAACTTTTGATTAATTAAAAGTTTCGAAAAACCTCTTTCATTGAACTTTTCATTTAAATAATATCACACATTAATTAAAAGTTGTCACGTGGACATAAGTATTAGAAATGTTCATACCAAAAATTGAAAAATTAAAAACGTTTGGGAATTTGCTTCCGTGTGATTTTTAGTTTTCGTTGGTAGGCGGAAAGCGGTGGGCGCGGGTTTTTCGGTGCCGTTCGCGACGAGACATGTTTACCCTTTTAAAAATTATATAAGTTCTTGATAATAAGTGCGTAATTGTCCTGAATTCGAAGGGCGTTTTGGGAATCCACAGGATCTCGTCCGTATACGGCTCCCTAAATCAAATTGCTGACTTCCTACTCTGAGAAAACAAAGCAGCAATTCTTCAACTCGCAGTCGCAGAGCCTACTCTCTCTCGCAGGTGAGTCCCAATTCTTCATCAATCTTTGTTCTTCAATTCACGGTCTCTCTCTTGTTAATTTTTCGTATTTGTTTTTGAATTTGTGTTCAATCCTTCATGGGTTTTGATCGGTATTTCAGAATTTTGTTTTCTGTGATTGGTGGAAGCTGTTTTTGTTGAAATTTCGAGGCTTTGGTGCATAAATTTTTGTGGGTTTTAATTGGTTTTTCAAAATTTTAGTTTTTGGGATTGGTAGAAGCTGTTTTTTGATGAAATTTCTCGGATTTGGTGCACAATTTATGTGGGTTTTAACGTTTTTGGTGATTTGTGCATGGACCATGGTGGCAGTGAAAGATGGCTTCAGATCCAAAAGTTCACGTATTTGAAGAGGTAGCGAAGCACAACAAAACCAAAGATTGCTGGCTGATTGTTGCCGGGAAGGTCAGATCTTTATCTTGATTGGATATTTGCTTCTTGTACTGTAAAATTCGGTTCCCAGTTGATTGATTGATTGATTTATCCTTTGTTTGGTTGCTGAGAAAATCTAGGAATATGAGAAAATTGCCCCCTACACAGAATTTGACTATTAGATTTTTGCATGTCAATGTGGTCGTGTTCGTCACGGTGCCACTCCTCAGTGGTCGCCTTGTTTCAGTTCCTTGATATGATTTTGGTTTATTCAATCCAATGACTAGAAAAAGGCAAATGCGTAGGGAAGAGCAAAATCGCTTCCCTGTGTTTCAAGGTGTTATTTGTACAAATCATAAACCAAGATTGTATGGAGTTTAGATCTCATGCTTAAAACTAAATCTGCTAGCTGCGGCAAAAACTCTGATAGTTAGAATAGGCTGATTTACCGATGGTTTGGAATATCAATTTTCAGGTGTATGATGTGACACCATTCATGGATGATCATCCCGGAGGCGATGAAGTTCTTCTATCTGCAACTGGTAAGGCATTCGTTTAATACTAATATCCTTTTTCTCAACCTGCAAGGCAGTAGGGTTTATGAGACTAATTTTGTTTGAAAACTGTAGGGAAAGATGCAACAAATGATTTCGAAGATGTTGGTCACAGTGATTCAGCCAGAGAGATGATGGAGAAGTACTACATTGGTGAGGTTGATCAGTCAACTGTCCCATTGAAACGGACTTACATTCCACCACCACAAGGTCGATACAATCCTGACAAGACATCCGAATTTGTTATCAAGATTTTACAGTTTCTGGTTCCGCTTTTAATCTTGGGGTTGGCCTTCGTTGTCCGTCACTATACCAAGAAAGATTAGAGTCTTTCTATTTCAGTATATCCGCTTGTAAGGATTAGTTATTCATCAAGATTTTGCAATTGCTCGTTTCAGTTATGTTGTTCTTGGTTTCCGTCATTGTTCATCCGAGGGTCGGTCCGTCGGTTGGTTTCTAGCGTCTTTTTGGTTATAAGGTGATTGACAGATTGTACAATGGTTGATCTTAAATTAAAGGATTGTTCTTCTTGTTATTATTTCCATATGAATTCCTGTTCATTATTTGTTGCTGATTTCACAAAGGCAATTGTTGTGTGTTGCATTTGAGACCAGTGTGTGCTGGTGTCAATGTCGCAGGTTTTGTTTATGACGTTTTACCTTTTCAGTGGATTCGTTCTATCGTGTGGTCCTGGACGCTGCGGGAAATTGTGGGAATATTAGCCATTTTAGAGATCGCGTATTGATAAAACTCCAGGACCGCATGATAAAACGAATCCATAGAAAAACTCCGGTATTTCTCCTCTCTAAACCCCTCATCTCCATATCAATTATTGAATTTTACGCTCGGGGTCACACTTGCACACCGCTTAATGACTACTCTATTACGGTTCGGAGGGCAATCGTGAAACTCGTGTGGTGAAGGGCGTTCCGTGCAGGGTTGTGGTAAGAAAAAAGTGGCACTCGTTTGGCCAAGTGATTGGTGTGCTAATCCTTTGGTTTAATTGCTTTTGAGTAGAGAAAACAGAGTAATGTGGCGGTGCTTGGACCCTGGTGTTTCAACAATGGAGATGAGGTTCATGGTAAAAAAATCACAATGTTGAGAGAAATAGAGAGTTTTAGTCCAAGGGTAATTAAGTGAACATAAATTTTGGTTAGTTTTATAAGAATTAAAAAAACTAGGTTACATTTAAATACAGGGTAAATTACATTTTACCCATCAGGTTTGAGGTCGATTGCAACCTCGTGCATCTTTAAAACATTTCAATTTCATACATTTATTTATTATTTTATTTCAATTTCATACAATTGTTAAAAAAATTGTTAAGTTAACCGTTAAATGATTACGTGGCAAATATGAAGTCCCCGTTTGTGCTAATGTGGCTGCTAAATTTGTGTCACGTGGCTAAACACTTAATAAAAAATTTAAAATATTAAAATAATTAATTAAAGAAAAGTATAAAAAAAAAAAAAAAAAACACAGAAAACCCTCCCCACCCGAGCACCCCGTTCTCCCATCCCCCATCACCTCCCCCTTGCCCACCCAAGCCACCCCTTCTCCCGTCACCAACCCCGTCCCCCAAACCTTCACCTCCTCCTCAACTCGAACCTATACCTTGGTCTGGCGAAAAGACCAATTCAACTAACCCACGTTGGCAGGGTGGAATTATCTCCATCTTTCATCAAAAGACGTAAATAAACAGGGATAACCTTTAGCAAGGCTCCTCAACTTTGAAGGGCAGTTTAGGAGGAACAAGGCGACCTATAACTCGTGGGCGTGGTTATATTTTTCCAAAAAGAAACCAAAAAAAAATTATTTCTTTTTGATAAGCAACAAACAGTGTTATTTCTAAATTGGACGATTTGGGAACACATGGAATACTCATACAGGAGTTTTACCTGCAAACCATGGAATCACGCGGTAAAACAGAGAAGAATACAACGCAGATAAATCTAAATAATTAATCTTTTCAACGTTTGACACCACCACTTTTAAGCAGGCTTGAAGAAAGTGGTAAAATTGATCAGCACTGCCTCCGATAGTCTGATTGGAGTGAGCTCCCGACGTGCTTATTTTGGATGCTCCGAATAACCGAATTCCGGGAAACAACCATGATAACGAACTATGCTACCGATACATGCAGTCATGAGAAAGATGTCTCTATCTTGTCATGGAGGTTTACCACCAAGTCATGTGCATCGTCGAGGAGCTTCCATATATCAAGTTGCCCGGACATGCTGTTGCACTCCCGGATAATCTCATCCATGCTGCTATACTTTTCGATTATCAGTTTCCTCTTCTGCAATACGGAAGCTGCGATTGCAAAAAGTAACAAATCGTCTGTTGGTGGGGCTCGTTGCCTTATCCTGCTCCACGCAGATTTTCCGATCCCTGCCCTAATGGCTGCTTGATCCGCCCACATTACCTCCCATAGGCATACTGTCTGTTCGAATGTCAACTCTCTCCTAAATAGCACAACCACCATCCGATAAACAAAAAAGCAATCCTCCGCCTGGAGCTTCTCCAAGTGCCTGTATAGGTGGGAGTCCTTACATTTGATAATCTTAGAAACGATACTCAACTGCTTTCGGATCCCTACCTCATCAAGCCTAAAATTATGTCGAGCCTTCTTCATGAAACCGACAAAACACCAGAAAGCCTCATGATCCTCTGTTATTACAGCAGCTATAGGAGAAAGCAGGTCACTCATACCCTGGCAGTAACCAATTTCGGGATCATAGAGTGCATATGCTTCAAGAATAGCAACTAGTCTAGCAGCATGGAAAATTCTGCAAGGCTCCAAGTGACTGTAATCTTTCAACCCAACAGCCTCAGCAGAACGTGATGCCCTATCGTGTGACACTTCAGCTTGAGATGGGGAGTGCGGAATCCAATCCGAATTAGTTCGTATTGCGTCAAGGCGTATGATCCGCTGCCATGTGGCAAAATCCTCTCTGTTTAGTTTTGATTGGACTTCCGTCCTCAAGGGAGAAGATTCATCCTTGGAAGTCACATCAGGATCATTTTCTTCCCTCCCTTCACATGAGGGGAAAGCCTGAATCACCTCAGGTTCTTCAGAGGAGTCCGAGTCAAATGAGTCAGAGTCTTTGGCATCCGCATTTGTGTTTTCTCTTGAACCATCATCATCTCCATCCAACAACGTACTAGAAGGGTCATCTGAGTATTCAGCATCTGGTATCTTATCTTCACTAGAAAGGGATTCCCTGGCGCTAACCACATCCTCAGAGCTGGGAGAATCTGTATCATGGGTGAATCTACAACCATCCCCATTCAACTTAGAGCTATCATTTTCACGCTTTGTGAGTCGGCGGCACTGTCTGCGGAGTTTCTCATATTCCTTTCTGCAACAAAATATTCAAACAATGTACCATAAATTTAGCAAGGCCAATGGATAAGAAACAGAGAATTACTAAACTGGATAGAATTTATTCAACTTATGCAACATAAAGCTACAAAAGAAACTATATGGACTTGGCATTAGTACCTTTTCTGAGATCTTACTACATCTCTTTCTTCTTTTGAACTGTTTAATTCATAGCTGTTGAGACAGAGAAATCCAGTCAACATATGTACGAATGGTTTCATCACTTCCCGAAAACAACATTTTAATGTATATGCAGAACAGGAATCAGTATAGTGGTCAGATTTTATTTCAAAAACTCATGCCATCAACTCAGAAGGAATCGCATTACACTTCTTATGTGGAGGAAAAAAAAAAAAATACTTTCTTGAAACTTTAACTCCACATTGACTACACAACGAAGTGTTCGAAAGCACAAAATGTCAGGTCTAAGCCTAAAATGAGCTGCTCCTAACCCAGAACCAGACCTAAATAAAAGCTCATGTATCTAGCAGTCATTATGTTTGATTTGGACCTAATGAGACATCTAGAAGCAATAATCTAGACGAATAGGAGGGAAAGAGCATAAAATCCTCTGCTAGGAACGATACACCAAAACACCTGATGGTGAAGCCAAAATATCACATAGCGAGGTCTATCTCAGAGATGCAAGGTATTAATGCAGCAATATTTTAGTTAAAAACTTAAAAGAGGTGTTGGACATGCTTACACTCCAAGGAGGAATGGCCAAACTTCTGCCCTAATACTTGGATCAACACCCTGCATTCAAAAAAATTTAAGATGAATAACGTCAATGATGGAAGCATGAAATGAATACATAAAAAAATTAGACGTTAGACCATTCTGAACACAAAAAGTATAATACGAATATGACGGCGACTCACCCCACTGCGAACTTTCTTCACCAACTTAACTCCACCATCTCGAAGCTTTCCATCAGGCGTAAAGAAAAGCCTCCAATGCTGAGGTGAAAGGGCATGTTTTCTTTTCCTGCGGGACCAAGGCGACTTAAGACGAACCCTGAAAATAAAACAATACGCGCAATTAGTAATGGTAAGATTAAGGAAGCATCAGCTGTATGAAAAATATTAATGCCTAAATGAACGAAAATGTTAGGCCAATAAAAACATCCTAAAAGTTGAACCCTTCATATAAAAGAAACAGTCTTGCCATAAGTGAGCAGAATAATGGATCATTTCAAAAGTCTGGATAATCTACGGACGCTGCCTCGAAGGGCCAAGTCTAAGCAAATCAACTTGCTAGCGAAAATTCTCAACAGGGATTAAAATGCCGATTAATGCAATAGCTTTGCAGCTTAAACAATTGACTTTGAATATCCAAAACATTTCAATCCATCTATCTGTTGAGAAGATTAGTAAAACCTAATTCGTTATGACTTATTAAACCACTGCATTGTTGCTCAGTTGCAGCTTAAAATACAAACTTCAAACACTTATCATATTAAAACATAAAAATCCTAATTTGACTGGACCCATGAGACAAAAACAACACAAATCTTCTAGAAGCAAATCGATACGCAAATGAAACCACCAATGTGGCTTGCCCAACACATCGAACCCACAATTTTTTAAGCAACTGAAAGAGTATCAATTTCCAAGGAGGACCAAAATGCGAATGAAGAAGGTGACCCGAAAGAACGAATTGACGAGAAAACGCCATTAAAGCAGTGGAACTGAGCTAAAATTGGTACTAAAAACATGAACTTGAAGCTCCCCGAGATCGGGATCTAAGAGCGGAAACTAAAAAGAAAAGCTTTGGTGAAAGAGAGAGAGAGAGACTCACCGATCAGAGGATGAACAATGAGCTGGTGAAGAAGATGACACGACTAACAGAACCGAACGCAAATAAATCCACGAAGACGACGACGAAGACGAAGAAGGAGATGAATTCGAACTCGAAGGCGACGACGAAGTGTGAGTTCGTCGTAGAGCTCTCATCTATCAGTGAATTTTTGTCCTAGGGTTTGCGTTTTTCAGAAATTCCAGAGCTTTTTTGAGAAATTTCAGAGCCTTTTTTTTTTATTTCTTTACCTAGTGGCAGTGCAGAACACGGCCACGACCACCGCGAGCCCAGCCAAGGCCGTGACGCCGACGGTCACGTACGACGGCGCCGCCGACCATAACCCGCCTCCGCCGGAGATGAAGGCGTTTCCGGAGCCGGAGGCGATCATGTGAGTAAGGGTCGTAAATGACAGAAATGCCCTTGTGATCTGCTGCAGCTGCTGCTTCTTGTGGGAGAGCAAGGACAGGGGGAGGTTGGGATGAATTGGGGATTTTAAATTTAATAATTTTACCCCCAACTGAAAAACTGCAAGTGTGGATGAATGAATGGATGAATGAAATATTGAATTGGGAAAGGCAACTGCTTTGGTTTGGATTTTTGCTTTGTTTTACTTTGGAAGTCTTTTTCTCTCTCTCTCTCTCTCTCTCTCTCTAGAGTGTGAGTCTATCTCTCTCTAGAGTCTAGAGAGTAGGAGAGTAGACACCATTTTTATAAGGAGTGAGAAAGAGAGTTAAGTGGAAGAGTTGAGAAAAAACAAAGTGTGTGAAAATCCTAACCACAATCCCTAATTTTTTTATGAGAAATGCCAATCGCCTCGTTCAAAAATATGATTTTTCGTAAATTCGCTCTGATGTATATTTTGATATAATATTTTATAATATTGACATGAAAAATAACATTGAACTGTGAATTAATAGAAAAAGTATGAATAATCTCAATTTAAATAAGTCTCCTAGCATTTCTCATTTTTCATTAGCTTACAAATTCTAGGTCAAGCATTTCCTTTTGTTTTTTTTTCTGAGGGTAGGTCAAGCGTTTCCTAATTTGTGTTCAACATTAGGTATTGTATACTAATCAAGCATTTCTATTTGTTAATTGTATTAGGTCTCTTGTCACTTTATTATATTTAGGGATTATATGACTAATTAACCTAATCATGTGAGATGGAGAATTAGGCAATTGGATGCATGATATGATATTACTCCTTTGTTAATTAAGAGGAAATGATTTATGCGTCTCGGTTATCTTCTTTTATACTTGTCTATTTTCTCATTCTCATTTGACTTATTTAATTTAATAACTAAATGATATGAGTACATTAAGAATATCATTTCTTGTATTAATTGTTTGTTTGGACTACTTCTTTAATGATTATAAGGGTTTTCATGACCAGTAAAAACACTTGTAACTGCGTTATGTACAAATGTTTCTAATTTATAAAAGCATTTTTAGTAGAAGCACTTTGATTTTTTTTATGAATTTTAGCGTGTTTCTAATAAAAACACCTATAACAAAAATGCTTATGAGAGAATTATCAAGAAGAAAATATGTTTTGTAAGTACACTACCATAACCTCCACTGTATCAGCATGACCACCACAACTTGTACCTCCGACGCCATCATATTATGCATCGCCATAACCCTACCACCATGGTCATCACCACCTCCACCGTCCCACCATTGCGGCCATCACCATTGCCACCATTACCATCATCTCACACAACTATCGCCGCCACCACCACCACAACCACATTCTCCATTTCATTACCCTGACCATAGCCACCACCACCACCTCCATCATCCCTACCTCTCAACCACCATTTTCAAAACCATCCCTCATAACCATTGTTCACACAATCATCCTCTACCACCATCATAGCCGTCGTCGTCAGCACCACCACCATTGCCCTATACCCTACTACTGCCACCACATATATCCCACCACTACTAACACCTTTATTCTCACCACTACTACCACTACTCCAACTACCATTTCTACCAATACCACTCTTGTCTCAACCACACTATCCTTACTACCAATGCCACCATTACTACCAAACATAAAATTTATATACGTATATACTTTTTTTTTTTTACATTAAGTACCATACGCATTTTCAATGTTTTCATTTTCTAAAATCATTCTCAAACTAAACTACTAAACATATTCTCAAATCATAAAAAATATAAAATCCTATTTGTCTTTTTCATTTTACGAAACAATTTTTTAAAATCGTTTTATGAAACGTTACCAGACCGACCTTAAAAATCTTTCCCTCTTCGGATGAAAGAAAATTGAAAACCAGAGCTTTTATGTAGAGTCACAATCAAGAGAAGCAAAATATTTTTTTTGGGTCAAATTTTAGGGATCTGTGAAGTTTGGTAGGTTTATAACCACAGCCGCATGCCTGATTTTAGTTGGGGGAAAATATCTTCTTCAGATCTCTTTAATCAAGGTTACCGGATCAAGTAATCTAAATATTTGAAATTTCATCAAATGGTCAAAAATTATTATAGTTTTTAAGAAATCAAAACAGATGTCTCGTTAGATAAAATTTCAAAAATCTAAATCAATTAATCCAATAATTTTGGTGAAAGATATCCAGAAATGATCTATTTTCCTCTTCGGATGAAAGAAAATTGAAAACCAGAGCTTTTATGTAGAGTCACAATCAAGAGAAGCAAAAAAAAAATTTTGGTCAAATTTTAGGGATCTGTGAAGTTTGGTAGGTTTATAACCACAGCCGCATGCTTGATTTTTGTTAGGGGAAGATATTCTTTTCTTCTTTTTCATCAAGATCATCGAATTAAGTAATTTAGATATTTAAAATTTCATCAAATGATAAAAAAAATATTATAGTTTTTAAGGAATTAAAATAAAAACGAACCGTTAAATAAAATTTCAAAAATCCAATCATTTGATTCGGTAACTTTGATGAAAGAAATCCGAAGATGATTTATTTCCTTTAGGTGGCAAGTTCACCAACTCCACTGTTATTTCTCATTGAGTGCTTGCTTCTTACCTTCTCCTCCTCCATAATTATACTAATACAACTACTCCCTTTAATTACTTGACCTCCTCAGCAATCAGCATGCTTAACTTATTATAACCGCCCCCATTCTAAAACAAATAATTAATTAATTAACTAACTTCGTGAGATGTTAATAATGTTATCATACTTCAGAGTATTGAAAATTCTACCATTTAAAGTTTTTATATCCAATCAAATGATTGTCAAAGAAAATTAAATATACGTTGAATTGGATCTACATACTGTAACCGGCAACATATCCTCTTCACGAGCATCGTAGAATTTTCACTAACTTCAGCACAATTGCTTTTTCAATGAACTGTTTTAGATAAACATATTAAAAAAAGGATCAAACCCAGTTTGACTAGGTCGATTACGCATGATCAATCTACTTAAATTAACGATAAAGAAATGGTGGTGTGGCACTTTACTTAATTAGTCATCATGTCATGCACACTTAGATAGAGAGTGCTCAAAATCTGCCCTATTAATTTTGTTGTTTGTGCAAACTTTGACAAATTGTTAAACCAACAAGAAAAGTGCTTATAGTCAACAAAATCGGGCAAAGTGCTTTTGACATGGTAATGATAATAAAATCTGTCCTTTTTCTTTTTCTAACCTTTGTATTATTATTGCTATTTTTCTTTTTCTTTTACCTTTTTTACCACAGTTGTTCCTTTTCTTTTTACTTTTCTGTTGTGATCATATACAGGTTGCATAAGAAGTAAAGAGAAATGTTAACCGGAGATTTTTTTCAGAAATGTGACTCTCTATCAAATTTTTATCACTTTATGTTATTAATTTAATATTTTATAATATTCATACAAAAATTAACATTAAACTGTGAGATGTAAGAAATTCATAAAGAGTTTCACGAATCTTGTAACATTTCTCGAAAAACATATGCAAAATGATGATCTTATGCAGGGGAACAGGGCCCCTTGTATGTTTACCCTTCTATCACCTATCATTATTATGAAAGAGATTGTAGACAATGATGTCGAGCCGCGAAGCGATGAAGTTTTTTTAGTTTCAATCGACGTGTCGCTTGATGAGAGAGATAATAATATAAAGAGATCTTCGAATCACAGTAAACCCTTCAAAGTGAGGCCATGGGACAACCAATTCATTCCTGCTGATGTAGAATATGCAGGTTTCATCAATCTGCTGTTCTTAAAGCATGCATCCTCCTTTAACACATTTAATTAAAGGGCGTGAGATGAACTATGATGACCCATTCTCAAAAGTTGTTTTGGCATAAACTTAATAAGCAAACCTAATGAGGTCATTACCCAATTCATTAAGCACAATGGTTCCACTATCATTCATTTTCCTCTCCACTATCACTGACCTTTTTCCTTTTTTCTTTTTGTTTAATGAAGTTTGTCCATGAGATTTGAACTCATAAACTAAATCAGCTCAAATTTTATTATCAATAACATCTTAGCACTATCATTGGTAGTCGGTATTACGTACCATTTTCAAAGAGAAAAACTTCGATAGAATAGCGTCACCAGTTAGTTGATCATGCCGCTTTCATATGGGATGCACATAATTTCATTAAAAATCGTACCTACATAGAATTACATGATATCCAAATATGGTGACTCGTTTTTCTTATAAAAATGACTGACTATCCAGCTGGTCAGACTTCGTGTCTGAAGATTTTTTTCTCCTCCTTTACAACCCTTTCAACAACTAATATACATAATCACAATGGTTTATATTTGAAATTGTGATCTTCTTGGTTTTTGGGTCAATGAACTTGTTTTGTGTTAGTAGATCCCAACCCCAAAGCCATACGTAGTGAGGTTCATTTCATTTGGCCACATTGACATGAACATGAGCAGATGATGTGCTTCTTGTTTAATAAAATATAATTATCTTCTTGGGCCAAATGCATCTCTCCGTTGCTTGAAAGATTGATTGGGAATTTGGGAGTAGATAAAGACGAAATCTTTGAGGACTTGAATGCAAAGTTTAGAAACCCAAGTCACTTTTTGGTTGGATGGAAGTGGAAAGATATAAAAGTTTACAACTTCATCGATGTTATTAATTATGTCACTTATCTAAATGAACACCATACAATGTATGTAATCGATTAAACTAAACAGATTAAGCAAGTGGATGATTGTCTGCAAGAACAAGGTCACGTGCTCAAAGTTAGTCATTGGTTTCATAATTTTTACAGATTTGCTCAAAGATAATGAAAGATTTGACGTAAAACTCAGTTCAGTGATATTTTATCATTCATACAGTCGACTCCAAATGTTATTAAGCAGGTAAATAACCCGCTAATACTTTCATTGATAAAAGATTCTTTCTTAAGGGTGTGGTTCTTGTTAATAGTCTTCATTCTTGACATGGTAATGATAATAAAGTCTTTCATTTAAGCGCGACGAGAATAAAATTTTTATTAGTTCAAAAATAAAAAACGTTATAGCTCATTTTCATGAGAGGAACTTTAATAAGATTGTTTGATTACAGGAGCTTTCACAACGAGTGAGATTAAAACAAAACGAGAGACCAAACTTATTCGACCATGCAGTCGCTTGGCGGAAGCCAAGAACACAAACCAAATGGTGTCTGAGGCAAGTTGCTTTATCGCCAACAACATGTAATAGCAAATACATCAGATGCAAGTGCAACGAATTGCAAAGCCAACGACATTCTGCTCCTACAGCTTGGAAGCCGCACCCTGGTCTAAGAACCAAGTTAACTCGTCTTCAGCCGCAAGCAACTGAACAGGCAAAGTATCAGGATGCTGGCTGTTTCCCAGTGCTCTCTGCACGGCATCAGCTTTATTATCGCCTGCCACCACCATTGCATTATATGCAGCAGAGTTGATCACTGGGAAGGTAAATGTAATCCTCTCTGGAGGCGGTTTTGGTGAGTCCTCGATGTGAGTCACCCATTTTGTCTTCTCGTTGCAACGCGGATGACCAGGGAATAGAGAAGCAAGATGTCCATCTGGACCCATACCCAGAAGTATGAGATCAAACTTCGGAAATCCAGTAACTTTTGAAGTGGCAATCACATTGCGCTGAACCAAATGTTTAAGACAGGTTTCGTAATCTTCTGCTGCTCCCTCAGCTGAAAGAGCATCATTAATGGCATAAACCTGGCCAGGGGGAATCGGTACCTGCCAAAATCCAAAATTTAGCAAGATTAAGTTGACAAATTAACGATTTTGTGCCATTGGAGGGCTTAGATTGCTTAGATCAGAATCACACATCAAATATTTACTCTACACATCGTTAAAAGTGTACATTTCTTTCTTCATCCCATGACCAACTAGTTATTAGTTTCAATTTCCTGATGTACTAACTAAAACCGAACCATGTTTTACCACAGAACATGCACAATATCATCTCCTTAAATCCAACCACTATTTGGTAACATCAACGCTTTTTTTTTCCCAACCAGAACCATCATCTCATGATCGAACCCTTACAGACAAAAGCGAGACCAATTTCCAGCTTTCATATCTTGATTTGTTAATTGATACACACTGTGACAAAGAAGCCATACCACTCACCAATATCTCAATCATATATAAACTGAATTACAAACATCAGTCTTCTGATCCTTCATTCACATACATTCTTTCTTTGTTTGGTTGACAAATTTATTACTTCTTCCTATAACCAACCACCTATTCGCTTCAATTAACTGACGTACTCACTCATTAACTCACATCATTTTTGACACAAACTATGCACAATATCGTGCCCTCAAATCCAACTACTATTCGGTAAAACATCAAGAGAAAGCATAAAAAATACTCATAAAAATTGTACCTTAGAGAGTAAAACATCAAGAGCAAGTTTATAGTTACTGTCGGGGTGATCCTTTTTCACCACTCTCTCATCCACCCAGAACACATGCCATCTTCCCCACTCCACTGTATCGTTATATGGTGCTTCCGTTAATTTCCTGTAAATCCAAACATACAAAATACTCATAAAAATACAATACAATAAAAAAGCAGTAAAGAAAACAATCAAACTTGCTATTGAACAACCAAAAATGCTTCTAAAACAGGCAAAAAAATTAATAGCGCTTATGGGGCGTGGCAGAAATGTTTACAATATAAACAGACCCAAAAGCACATACTTCTCGAGTAAGCACTTGAATTAACAAAAAATTCTGCATATTTATGAAAGAATCACGTCTAGCAGAAGTGCTTAGAACATAAGCAGGCCCAAAAGCAAATACTTTTCGAGTAAGCACGTGAATTTATAACCATTTCTACATGAATCACTCCTAGCAGAGGTGCTTACAGCCAAGCCAGACCCAAAAGCACATACTTTTTCCGGTAAGAACTTGAAATAACAAAAAATTGCGCATGTTTATGATAAAACTTCCAGCATAAGTGCTTCTAGCAGAAGCAGACCCAACAGCACATACTTTTCGAGTAAACACTTGAATTATTAAACATTTCTACATGTTTATAATAAAAGCACTTCTAGCAGAAGTGATTGATTATACCTAAGCAGACCCAAACCAATCCGAAATTATTAAAAAAAAACAAGATGCTTGAGGGGGATTGTTTCTGACCTGAGCGCGTAAATGAGAGAGCCGCCGGACAAAGCGACGGTGAAAGCTCCCCTCTCCTTCACAAACTTAGCCGACAGGTCGGCGGTGTACTTCGCCAGACGCACCGCCACTTCCTCCGCTGTCTGAAACTTCTCCACCTTCTTCTGACACTGACCCGCCATCTCTGCTGCCGCCGATGATGCCGATGATGCGGAAATTGGGTTCTTGAAATTCGAGCGAACGGGTTTAACCGAGAGGGATAGAGATCTTGGTGCCGATCGGAGTGAGATTATCGCCGGCGCGCGAGATGTACGCGATGAGGAGAGAGTCGTGCCGAGTGAGAGGGAAAGACGGGTCGGGGAGCGTACGGAGGCCATGCGCAGTGCGCACCCGGGCTTACTTTAGGTATTGGCTGCGGAAAAAACCGACCGGGCCACAAAAGTCAAACGGTGAGTGAAGTTCGGTTGCGGTGGACTGCAGTTGGAGGGAGTTGGTCAGTGACTGTTAACTGACTTGGGCGGAGAACCCAATGGACTTGTAGATATGAATTAGGCCCGTTTGATAACTATTTTTCTTTTAAATTGCGTCCATATTTTTATAATATGAACCAACTCGTGCGGTGCAAGATATTTGTAATTCAGTTGGTTATGTGTTGATTCCTTCATTTAAAACTTGATAAAAATTTTAGTTTAAAAAACACTCAATTTATTATTCACGTGGATATGAGTTAGCATCTACTTAAAAATTTAAAATTGCATTGGTAGAAAGCTCTTCAACTTTCATACAATTTATAAGCACTTATAAGGATGTCGAGTATGACACAACTTCACCTTTTCTTACTTGTCGAAGACACAACTTCATCCAAAAAGCGTTTTTTAGTTCGAAAAACATTTTCTATTAAACAGTGTCAAATACAAATACTTAAACTGTGTCAACAATACTTTCTTTAACATATAAACACATTTTGATAAACTCAAAAGCGCTTTTGGTAGCAAAAATACTTTTATCCTGAATTGTGAGGTAAACACATTTTTCCGCTCATGATCACTTTTCGCCAAATTGAAAGAAAAGCTCTTTTTGGTCGCTTAAAAGTTATGTTTGAACAAATTTTGGACAGCTAAGAGTGTTTTATGACGAAAAAAATATCACTCCTAATTACATTTGGCAGAAAAACTTATAAGCATTTTTGAGTCGTAAAAGGATAAGCGTTTTCAGTCTAAAGCAATATCAAACAAGTTTCGTAAACATGCTAAACCCGACAACCAGACTCTGTCTGCTGCAAGTTGCTTTTCTGACGCTGACGGTTAAACAACCGCAGTGGTACGAGGGAACGGAGAGCATTAGAATATATAGTTGCTTTACCACTACTGAAAAATACATCACTGAGGACCTAAAAGGTCACCAGTTCTTATTGCCACCACAGAGGACCAAAAAGGTCACGAGTTCTTACTACTAGCAAGAAAAGCAAGCAGCAAATCACAGTGATTTCTGCCTACATTATTGAACACAAACACATTAACATCGACATGTAAATAGGAAATACATTGGATGCAAGTGCAACGTATCGACATTCTGCTCCTACAGCTTGGAAGCTGCATCCTGATCTAAAAACCAAGTTACCTCGTCTTCAGCTGCAAGCAACTGAGCAGGCAAAGTATCAGGATGCTGAATATTTCCAAGTGCTTTCTGCACGGCATCAGCTGTGTCATTGCCTGTCACCACCATTGCATTGTATGCAGCAGAGTTGATCACCGGAAAAGTAAAAGTAATTCTCTGTGGAGGTGGCTTTGGGGAGTCCATAATGTGAGTCACCCATTTCGTCTTCTCGTTGCAAAGCGCATGACCAGGGAATAGAGAAGCAAGATGTCCATCTGGACCCATACCCAGAAGTATGAGATCAAACTTTGGAAATCCAGTAGCTTTTGAAGTGGCAATCACATTGCGCTGAACCAAATGTTTAAGACAGGTTTCGTAATCTTCTGCTGCTGCCTCAGCCGAAAGTGCATCATTAATGGCGTAAACCTGACCAGGGGGAATCGGTACCTGCCAAAATCCAAAATTTAGTAAGATTAAGCTGATGAATTAACGAACCTGTGCCATTAGGCCCTTGGAGGGCTTAGAATGCTTTAGATCATAGTCACGCATCAAATGTTTACTCTACACAGAGTTAAACGAGTACATTTCTTTCTTCATCTCATAACCATCATCATTGCCATATCGAACCCTAAAAACAGAAGCACGGCCCGAAATTCCCAAATTTCAGATTGTCCATTGATTACAGTGATACAAAGAGCCATATCACTCACCAACCTCATTAACATATAAATCAAATTACTATGAATCTTCACAAGGAGCAAGCAAAACAATAAGAGCAACTAAAATTAAAAATCGATCACATAAAAATCACAGCTTTGACACACAACATTGCAAAATTTAGTGCTTTGACACAGCATTCAGAAGAAAGTATAAAAAATTGTACCTTACAGAGTAAACCATCATAAGCAAGTTTATAGTTACTGTCGGGGTGATCCTTCTTCACCACTCTCTCGTCCAGCCAGAACACATGCCATTTCCCCCACTCCACCGTATCCTTATATGGCTCTTCCGCTAATTTCCTGTAAATCCAAACATACAAAATACCCACAACAATACAAGAAAAGAAAAAAGCAGTAAACAAAACAATCAAACTTGCTACTGCTCGAGTAAGTACTTGAATTAATAGCATGTTTATGATAAAAAATTTCTTCTAGCAGAAGTGCTTAGAACATAAGCAGACGCAAAAGCACTTACTTTTCGAGTAAGCACGTGAATTAATAAACATTTCTACATGTATACCATAAAATCACTCCTAGCAGAAGTGTTTACAGCAGAAGCAGACCCAAAAGCCCGTACTTTTCCAGTAAGCACTTGAATTAACAAAATTGTTTATGATAAAATCACTTCTAGCAGAAGTGCTTACAACATAAGCAGACCCACCAGCACATACTTTCTAGTAAAAATTTGAATTACTAAGCATTTCTACATGCTCATGATACATCTCTAACAGAAGTGCTTATACCTAACCAAAGAAGACCCAAACCAAACCGAAATTATTAAAAAGAAAATGCTTGAGGGGGTATGTTTCTGACCTGAGCGAGTAAATGAGAGAGCCGCCGGACAAGACGACGGTGAAAACTCCCCTCTCCTTCACAAACTTGGCCGACAGGTCGGCGGTGTACTTCGCCAGACGCACCGCCACTTCCTCCTCCGTCTGAAACTTCTCCACCTTCTTCTCACACTGGCCCGCCATCTCTGCTTACGCCGATGATGCGGAAATTGGGTTCTTGAAATTCGAGCGAACGGGTTTAATCGAGGGGATAGAGATCTTGGTGCCGATCGGATTGAGATTATTCCCGGCGCTCGAGATGTATGCGATGAAGACAGAGTTGTGCGGAGTGAGAGTGAGAGGGAAAGCCGGGTCCGCGGGAATACATGGAGGCCATAATAAGTGCGCAGCCAGGCTTACTTTAGGTAGCGGCTTAGAAAATGGCCGACAGGTGTTGAAATTATCCGAGAGACAATAACATCGATATTATCCTTAATTTGTTAATTATCACCTGTATAGTCTGATAAGTTTGGGATTTTACCATAAAATATCTTAGTATTGGTTGGAGTGTGGTTAGAATATTTAAACTTTTTTTTCATAGATATGTATGGTAGCTATAAGATATTTCAACACATCTCTCATGAGACTATAGATTGGGATATGTGACCCATTAATTGGGTTTCAGGCGTGATGAGATATTTTAACACATCCCTCATGGCCTATAGATTGGGATATTTCAACACATCCCTCACGACGAGTTATAGATTGGGATATGTGACCCACTAATTGGGTTCCAGGCGTGATGAGATATTTCAACACATCCCTCCCGGGCTATAGATTGGGATATCTCATCACGCTTGAGACCCAATTAGTAGGTTACATGTGGAAGGTCCACACATTGAAAGCCACGTAGAGCCAATGAGACACCCTACATGCGGGGCCAAGGACCCATCCATCACGTGGCAGTACGGCACCCGCTCTATGGCTTTGATACCATGTCGAAATCATCACAGAGACAGGTCAAAAGTCCACTTGCAACAATATATTGTACTGAACTTGTTAATTACCACTTGCACAGTCCAGCAGGTGTGAGACTTCATCACAAAAATCCTCAATATTAGTTGAAGTAGTGTTGAATATTTAAACTCTTCTTTTATCACAGACACGATGGATATAGGATATTTCAACAACAGGAACCCAAACAACAAAAGGAGAGTGAAGGATGTGTAGTCGGTCGGAATTGATCAGTACTGTGTGTTGGAGTTTTTGATAAAAATCTCATTTTAACTCATTGTCGCACGTTGATGACTATCAAAATTCTCTCGCACTTTATAACATTATGTCCAAGTGATAGAGATGGACGGGAACAAACTCCTAGTATAAGCAACAGTAGAGCAAACCAGTTTTGCTGCTGCCAGGAGCGAGACACACACAGAGACGGGGAGAGAAGAAAGAAAGCCGGAGAATATGCAGATCTTTGTGAACCCTAACAGGGAAGACTATCACCCTCGAGCTGGAGTCTAGCGACACCATCGACAACGTCAAAGGCCAAGATCCAGGATTTAGGGTAGGAAAATTGTACCCATTACTGAAAAATACATCGACCAAAAAGGTCACCACTTATTTACTAGCAAGAAATACTGAAAGATACATGACAGAGGACCAAAGTGGTCACCTCTTCTTAGTTACTAGCATAGCAAGAAAAGCAAGCAGTGAATCACATTGATTTCTGCCTACATTATTGAACACAAACACGTTAACATCGACATGTACACGGTAAATACACTGGACGCAAGTGCAACGAGTTGCAAAGCCATCGACATTCTGCTGCTACAGCTTCGAATCTAGGAACCAAATTACCTCCTCTTCAGCTGCAAGCAAGTGAGCAGGCAAAGTGTAAGGAGGCAAACTATTTCCAAGTGCTATTTGCACGGCATCCGCTAGATCGTCACTCGTCACCACCATTGCATTATATGCAGCAGAGTTGATCACTGGGAAGGTAAAAGTAATCCTCTGTGGAGGTGGCTTTGGCGAGTCCTTAATGTAAGTCACCCATTTCGTCTTCTCCTTGCAAAGCGGGTGAGCAGGGAACAGAGAAGCAAGACGTCCACATGGACCCATGCCGAGAAGCATGAGATCAAACCTTGGAAATCCAGTAGCTTTTGAAGTGGCAATCACATTGCGCTGAACCAAATGTTTAACACGGGCTTCGTAATCTTCTGCAGCTCCCTCAGCCGGAAGTGCATCGTTAATGGCATAAATCTAGCCAGGGGGAATCGGCAAATATCCATTGGTTATGGATAACCTTGGTTATCCGCTCATTTAAATTTGACGATTACGGTTATGGGTAACCGTTTAGATAAATAAACAGTTATGGGTATAACCGTTTATCCGTGAAATTTAAATGGATGGTTATGGGTATTACCCGCGGTTATAAACAGGTACTCATGTAACTATTTATTTTAATATATGTAAATAAAAAATGAAAAAAAAATTAGTTTCTAACTAGGTTTAGTATTTCGAGATATATTTGGTTATAAAGGGCCATATATATATATTTATGCCTTACTTGAGAGAAAAATATAGTTGATAGAATGGGCTAATGTTTAATATATGTGATTGAATGTGCTAAAACATTAGAGGGTTCGACAATTTTGTTTTGGAGTCTTTTGGAGCTTTGACCAATTCAAGATAATGATTACCTTGAGCATTTAGAAACATGTTATTATTAGATGATGCGTACCTATATATATTATTAGAGTTGTTAGAGATTGAAGTGAAATAGGAGCCATGTATTATTTTGTTTATTTTCTTCACTAGTATCAGATAAGAGAAATGAACGTAGATAGGGACAAAAGAGGAAAACATGATTATTACTTTATGCTTTTCATTTTTTTGTACTACCTATACGATACAAGCATACGTCTCTTTTAATGCATGTAAAAGGCTTACACATCAAAACAATAAAAACCAAACTTCTACTATTTAAGCAATATAATTTTGACTTTCATTTTTCCACTTTCCACCCTTAACCATATGTAGTTGTTTTCTTTATGTGGGCATTCACACCAATTTCACAACAGAAATCATTACTTGAGTATTTATAGTCTCAACAACTATTAATGTTAGTGAGAAACAATTCAAGAATTAATTACAAAAAACAAAAAGGCACAACTTTGTATTACTTGTAGGGCAAGTAACCCCATTATTTGTCTTAAAAAAGGCACAAGGTACGGAGAAATATCATCACAGTAATTCCCAAGCCTATATTTTCTCTTTATGCAGCTCAACACCTCTCTCTCTCTCCTTCAGTTAAATTTAGGCCACAACGCATTGTTAAACACACTCCTGACACTAAGTTAAGGAACTGAATGCTTGTTTACTACAAAGTCGTTCACAATATTCATCTAGCAATCCAAGTAATCTATAAAACATGATTTCAATTTCAATATTTTTTCAGTAATGATTGCATGAAACATTCATCATGAAGTATGAACTCTAATTTTACGTTTTTTTTTTTTTTTTCAAATTATATATTCAGCTTAAATTTATTGTTATTATAATTGTGGTGAATTGAATATGCGTGAATAAGAGAAGAAAAAAAAATAGGATTTTTCAAACCCTACACGCATGGGAGCCGCAGCCTGAAGCCGTACTGCCCGAGCCACTAAGTCGTTCATGCTCCAAAACTCTAAGGTCCAAAACAAAGCTGTTTTGTATCACATTTCTTACGGACCTAGGCTGCTTGCAGTCGACCCACAACCCAATTGGGCATACGCACCAAACCGTCCCACTTGTTTTTTTTTTTTTTTTTTTGTTTGGGCCTTGTTTTTTTTTTGCTCGCATGAAATAACAAGCCCATGGGTTAGGCCTTATTTTTCACTTTTCCTTCTTAGCCCAATAATTGGATATATAATCTGTTAACTCATTTACTTCTCCTTTGTTGCCCAGCAACCCAACAACCACTCTTTTGGGCCTGCAAGCCACGACAGCCCCATATTTTGGGTCGTCACTCATTCTTTTCACACATAGATCCTGAAGCTATTCCCGTTCACTATATATGTATATTGTGTTTGTTTGCAGGTATCATGAACGTAGAGTTCGTACTTAAACTCGAACTAAGTGTCATAGAAATTCGAAGTTTCATAAAACAATACACCCGTAAAAATCTAGAGTTCTTGTAGGTGATTTGTTAGGATTACATGTAGATGATGCTTTTAAAAACAACTGTAAAATTTAGTTTGTGCAAATTATTTTATTGTCCATAATTTTATTTTGTGATAGAAGACAAAAATGTTTTTTCACCCTCTTATAGTTGACAAAAAGAGTTTCATTAATATGTGGTTTAAATTAACTTCTTCCTTACAAATCTGTTATGTGTAAATAAACTAGCTTGAAATAGGTCCAATTTTGTGGAAAGAGATCATCTCTGGATCCCTTCCACCAAATACACCTAATCAATCAATCCAGACCCTTGAAATTTAATTCAATGGCTACAAACAGGATGCCCCTTTAAAAGTTATAATAACTTTAGCCGTTGGACTAAATTTCAAGGGTTCGAATTAGGGATTAGGTGGATTTGGTGGAAGAGATCCAGAAATGATCCCTTTCCCAATTTTATGGCCTAACAATTAGATTAGTCCAATTTTTAGTATTTTTTTATTTAGGTCCATGAATAGGACTCCATGTGTCAGCACTTTTTGTTGTTAGGTTGATACTTTGCATTGTGATTACTATTTTACTCTACTATAGCTATTTAATGGAAAAAGAAAAAAAAAAGAAAAAAAATAGAAAATGATACGATCGGTACTTTGTTACCTGTTCTTCTTGAGAATAATCGCTAGAAAAATAGCGACTGATAACAAAAAAAGTCGCTATCTTCATACCGATCCATCCCTTTTCAATTTTTTTTTCAATTTTTTATTTTGTTAATGTTTCTTTTATTTCTCTTACCATAACAACAAACTATCATATTTGTGTTTTTCAAAATATATTTTTTCCGTGCAAAATATATTATAATTCATTTTTAAACACTTGTAATCAATGATTTAAAACCTAAATTTAAAGATATTTTTTTATTTTCTCACTTTAAGAATCAATAAAAAATAGTTTCAGGACCTAATAATCAGTAGGATCATATCCAAAGGTTTTGCAATATTTTCCTTAACTCCAGTGCAGAATATTTCTTAAAACTAAAAATTTCAAATTTTTTTTTTCACAAAAAATTGTGTGCTATAAACCAAAGTTAGAGTCATTCTATTCTCACCACATATTTCCTAAAATTAATTTAGGACATTTCCAAAATTTTGGACACTTATAAATCTCTTGGGGGGCCTCTCTATTAGTTATATTATTTTTCTATTTTTTTTTTTCAACTCAGGTACCCTATTAGTCGGCCTAAATCCAGATTTCAGTTGATCTTTTACAATCTAAACCATTTATCATATAAGTACTTTTACAATCTAAACTACATGTCATATAAGTACTTGTACAAGCTAAACTATCTATCATATTATAATATTAGTCGGCATAAACTTAGATTTCAACTGATTTTTTATAATCTAAACTACCTATTATATAAGTACTTTTACAGTCTGAACTACTTGTCATATAAGTACTTGTACAAGCTAAACTACCTATCGTATTGTAACTACCTATCATGGTGGAATAAGTAATTTTACATGATTCTAACAGTAAGATGTAGTCCTCCATCTTGGTAATGTTAAAAGCCCCCGAAGCTAACACAATCAATTTCAAAAGCCTCTTGAGCAATTACTCATGTAAGACAATCAATGTATAATGCTTGCGAATCATGTAGACTAGAATCATGTAACAAATACCAGTAAAAATGAAGTTTATTGTTGTAAACAACTCAATGAAAACATGTAAAATTACTTGTAGTTCTCATAGCTTCATGCGAATTCAAATTCAAATTTGGATATTAATCTGCAGAATTGCGAGGAAAATTCTAAACATGAGTCGGATAGAGTTTTTGATGAAACGACGAGATTTGATGAGTAATTTTTTTTTTAATAAAACGATATATTTTACACTAAAAAAATATGAGAGTTTTTTTATGAAATGATGAGATTTGATGTGTAACTTAAAGTTCCATGTTAATTCTGAAAGAGTCATAATAAAATATTCAACGACAGTCGGTGCAATTTTGTTTTCAAATTATGAACACTTTAATTGCTCTACTTATTAGACCCTACCTATGACTGTGCAATACATTAGACTCATATCAAAACATAAGGATCAGAAATCAGGATCATCTCCTGAGCAAAGGGTGAGGATCCTCCTGACCAAGCCCATCGGGCCATTAAAATTTTATTAAATGGCTACAAACAGGGGGTCCCTCTAAAAATTATAATAATTGTAACTATTAGATAAAATTTCAACGGCCCGATAGGCTTGGTCAGGAGGATCTTCACTACCTGCCAAAATCCAAAATTTAGCAAGAGTAAGCTGACACACAACGTAGCAAAATTTAGTGCTTTGACACAACATTCAGAAGAAAGCATAAAACTTGTACCTTAGAGAGGAAACCATCAAAACCAAGTTTATAGTTACTGTTGGGGTGAGTCTTTTTCATCACTCTTTCATCCACCCAGAACACATGCCATTTCCCCCATTACACCGTATTCTTATACGGCGGTTCCGCTAATTTCCTGTAAATCCAAACATACAAATTGATTAAATACCCCAAAAATGCAATAAAATAAAAAAGCAGTAAACAAACAATCAAACTTGCTATTGGACATCCAAAACGCTTCTAAACAGGTAAAAAAATAATAATAATAATAACAGCGCTTATGGGTCATTGGAGAAATGCTTACAATATAAGCAGACCCAAAAGCACATACTTCTCTAGTAAGCACTTGAATTAATAATTTTTTTGCATGTTAATGATAAAATCTCTTTTAGAGAAGTGCTTAGAAGATAAAAAAATGTTACATAGAGATGAAATCTATATGCATTGGTAGATCTTATCTTTATTAAAAAGATTATATAAATGAAAATACAAATATATTATAAGTGTGACAAATACGTACTTTTCGAGTAATCACGTGAATTAATGAACATTTCTGCATGTATACGATAAAATCACTCCTAGCAGAAGTTCTTATACGTAAGCAGACACAAACCAATCCGAAATTATTAAATAAAATAAAATAAAATAAAAAAATGCTCGGCACCCCGGGCCTCCGGGGGTTTTGTGTCTGACATGAGCCCCCGGGGGGGTTTGTTTCTGACATGAGCGTGTCAATGAGAGTGCCGCCGGACAAAACGACTGTGAAAGCTCCCATCTCCCTCACAAACTTGGCCGACAGGTCGGCGGTGTACTGCGCCAGACAGCCACTTCCTCATCCGTCTCAAAAATCTCCACCTTCTTCTGAAACTGAACCGCCATCTCTGCTGACTCCGATGATGCGGAAATCGGGTTCTTGAAACTCAAGCGAACGGGTTTAATCGAGAGGGATAGAGATCTTGGGGCTTATCGAAGTGAAATTATTCCCAGCGCGCGAGATGTATGCGATGAGAAGAGAGTTGTGCGGAGTGAGAGGGAAAGACAGTCGGGGGATATATGGAGGCCATGACCGACAGGAACCCAAGAGTCGAACGGTGAGTGAAGACAGTGCAATCTGTGGGAATTGATTAGTACTGTGCAGTCGGTTACGGTAGACTGTGCAGTCGCGCGGTGGGAATTGATCAGTAGTGCTAACTGACTTGGGCGGTAAACCATGGACTTGGAGCAATTCAAAACCCTAATTTCTGATCGATCTACTTACGTGGGTTTGTACTTGTAGCAACTACATATACTGGAAATGTACATAAATTGTAAAAGTATGAGTATGATTCTTACAAGTCTTGGGATAATTGATATTATAAAGAAGTCTAAATCATGTTGACAAGAGTTAATCCAATCATATTGGTATATTGAGGATTCTTATGTTTGCTCGTTTATAGGACTCATACTGATATAAGGAATGCAGTCTTGTATTCCTTGTGGGATTGTTATAGGGCGATACAAGAGATCCATGTCTTGTAGTATAAAACCACAAGCCTCTGCTCTCACAAAGCACACTCTTATTGTTCCAATTACCTATAACTTGGAGAGCATTGAGTTTTGCAGGAGGTTGTGTGCAAGTTTTCATGGCTTCTTCATCCATGAACATGTCTGCAGGTATGTGTTGGTATAATTGCTGCAATTCTTACACTTATATTACATACATAATTTAAGGATTGTGATTTAGTTGATTAATCCTTGTGTTCTTGGCTAGTGTATTAATCTTTCAAGTCTAGTTTATTCTTACATAAATTACTTGCATGCATGGATTGTATGTCATGGATGAAAAGTGGAAGTGACTGGGAGTTTGAAGAAGAATAATCTTAAGATATATGATGAAACCTTGGAATTTTTAAGTGCTTCGCAAGTAAACAGTTCAATTTTAGAGATTGAGAGCTCGTTTGGATGTGCTTTTAAAATGACTGAAAGTACTTTAAAAAAAATATTTTTGATATCATTTCACATGTCTCATCTTGTCGCCATTGAGCTTAATATAAAGATATATTCATTGATTCGTCTCTGAATTTGCAAGACACTGTTAAATCACTCTCTGAACTTTAATTTTGGTCGATTTCCCCTATGAACTCTAATAATTAGCCACATTCCACCCTATCATTTAAATTTTCATAATTCCATCCAATCTGCCACTTAATGTCACACTTGATATCTACGTGATCGCCTGTGAAAGGCAAACCGTACGACGACAACACAACGAAATGACCACCTACGCTATCATGGGCTTCGCCTCCAAGCTCTTCCACTCTTTTCCGACCTCAAATACGAATGCTAATGGGTCTCAAACCTCGACCTGACTCATCTCTAAAACTGGGTACAAATCCTTCTCAAATAGGGACAACCACTTCTACAATCGTTTTTGGTCGTCAACTGAACACTTACCACTTCGTAGCGCAGCTCTCTAGCGGCGGAGAAAGTCCTAGTTTCCAGCCTGCATTGCGCCCCACAAAGCTCATCACAATAACCACCCACCTAGCTCCCTACACCGCAACATCGATGTCGACGTCGATGATGTGTTCAAGTGGCAACAGGGATTGTACGACATGTTGTCGGGGGTGCTATTCACTGCCGATAAGGAGATATGGAAAAGGATCTGACGATGGTCATTTTCTTGGATCCCTGTGATCGTGATCATTCATCGTACATTGTGCGGTCAATTTTCGTTAGGTACTATTTGTATTTAATTTTAATTTTAAAATTTTAAAATGATTTTTGACCGCATGATGTACGATGAATGGTTACGATCATGGAATCCGTAGGATTCTCAGGACCGGATCATTTTCCCAAAAGGAACAACCGCTGGCAGCAAGCTTGTGCTTCTCTGAATGTCGCATTGAGGGTGACTGGAGCTTCAAACCTGTTAATGCTCAAGATTTCCAAGTTAACAAATTAAAATACTAAACTTTTAGTGGGTTGAGATATGGATTGAAAGGAAATTGACTCAAAGATTTAAGTGATTCACTCCTCAAAGCTAGGCTAAATTGTTGCTCAGATTATATTGATTTTAAGACTAAAAATTGCGCTTGACTAATATATGAACTCTCTCATAAAAGCATATGCGGCTTTCAGTCTAAGCAGTGAGAGATTTTTTAGTGTGATTGGTATACGGGATGGTACATCATGTGTCACTATACAAAAGGTGGGATATGTGTGTTAAAAAGTTAATAATTTAAAAAAAAAAAATCACCACTTATAAAAAAATACGTGGTGTACCACTCATATTCTGGTCATAATGAAAAATTTCTCTTAAGCAGCATCAAATAGGTTTTACAAACATGCTTTTACTCTGTTTGGGCTGAGGCCCACTCATTTTGCATTAAAAAACACAAGCCCATTTCTATCTTCATTTTTTGGTGGGAAGCCCATTAACGAGCAAAACCCTAGATAAACAACCGTAGAGCAAAACAGCTTTGCTGCCGCCGAGAGCGAGACACACAGAGACAGAGGGAGAAGATGCAGATCTTCGTGAAAACCCTAACAGGGAAGACTATCACCCTCGAGGTGGAGTCTAGCGACACCATCGACAACGTCAAGGCCAAGATTCAGGACAAGGAAGGTAACACCATCCTCCCATAATCTAATCTCTCACATTTTTCTGATGATCAAGTTTCGTGCTCGAATTCAAAGTAGTACGATTCAACGGTGATGATTTCTCCCGGTAATTGTTTTGTTTTTGTTTAGGTATTCCACCGGACCAGCAGAGGCTCATTTTTGCCGGGAAGCAGCTCGAGGATGGCCGTACTCTCGCCGACTACAACATCCAGAAAGGTTAGCATTGCCTTATCCCTTGTTTGGTTGCTCAGAAAATTTTAGGATATGTTTGGTTGTGAAGAATTGAATTTAATCTTAGAATGTAAATTTATTGATATATACACTATAAATTTGGAAAATGAGTTTTCAATATATGTTTCCGGTTCCTATGTGATTATGTTTGGATCATTTTACCTTGAGAAGTTTAGTATCCAATTTGTATTAGCTTTACTCAAAGCGAAATGAGCTAACGGAAGACTTGATGCAAAGCGCTTTAGGATTTTACGGCCGATCCAACTTAGTGGGATAAGGCTTGGTTATTGTTGTTGTTGTTTTACTCGAGGCGAAATATTTTCCTCTTTCTATGTGATTATGTTTGGAGATATTTCACCGTCAGAAGTTTATTACCCAATTTATAGTAGCTTTAGTTGAAGGGCTCGGGGCCAGGTTTGGACCTGCTGATGGCCTGGTTTACTCATGTTGCTGGCGATTTGTTGTGTCTTTATACTTGTGTATAGGTGCTTTCTGTTTGTTTATGTTTCGCTGATTGAAAGTTTATTTTGATTATTTTTCTCAGAATCAACTCTGCATTTGGTTCTGAGGCTTCGTGGTGGGATTATTGAGCCGTCTCTCATGGCATTAGCTAGGAAGTACAACCAGGAAAAGATGATCTGCCGCAAGTAAGTTCCAACTGATTAAGCTTTTCTTATTTCTTTCGAGACATAATCGATGTGTTCATTTGGATAAGGGTTTGTATTCTAAAAAAGAGAATGCAGATGAGTATTTAATTTATGCTTAAGCCCAAGCCATTCAATCCGACTATGATTGAGCGTCTAACATTCTTTAGTTTGAGAGCTATTTTACTAGTCTTTGACTCTCATTGTATCTCAAGTATATAAATGCTTGTGAGCAGGTGTTATGCACGCCTGCACCCCCGTGCCGTTAACTGCAGGAAGAAGAAGTGTGGACACAGCAACCAGGTATTTCATGTAGCTGAGTGATGTCTGTTTGATCGTACTACCAACCGTTACTTTTTAAGGTTTTGTTCTTTATTCGTGTCATCTTTTATTAATGCAGCTGAGGCCAAAGAAGAAGATCAAGTAAACTGGGAATCGAGACAGCGGAATGTGGCATCTTTTTGGATCATTTAGGTCTTGGACATTTTATTTTAAAACTTTGTTAGCGTCAAGCAGGGTATTGTTATAAAGTTTAGCATCAACATTTTTCAACTTGCTTTGGAATTTTTCTGTGATGTTGCGTAATCTTGGCGTCGTTTAAGCTTCTTACTATGAGAAATGGCATTCAAAGGCAATCGCTTTTCTTCCATTTCTTCATTACCACATTCTGAAACGGATAAACCAAATTTACAAGTCGTGCGATGATTTGATGGGTTCGTTTCTTCTGTTCGATCAGAATTCGCATCACCTTGTCTGGAAAATGTTTTGGATCATCTTCCGACGCAGCATCTTCTAACTGAAGTAACTCCAGTCATCAACTCAGGCGCCAACCGAGAGCACTCAGATTTTCTTCCGATCATTTAGGTCTCGAAAATTCATATTTGAATGCACGCCCATAACGCTACGTTTTGCAAAGCATTGTAATTTGCAGTTGCCCAATGTAACTGTCCTATTCCAGTTTGTTCAATCTGCATCCGATCGATCGAGGCACTGAAAGCACAATAGGGGAAGGCCAAAATTAAAATTATGAGCCTGAATTGACAGCTGTGGGATTTGAACCCATGCCCTTTGGACCAAAGCCTAAATCTGGGGTTTTAGAGCAAGTCCATCCTTAAAAAAATGTGCCAGCATCCAACCTATTTAATCCACTCAGTGAACAGTGATAGATCCCAATGAACAATAATAGGCCAAATGCATCTCCATCCTTAACAAAAAATAGCCTAGTCAATTTTATTTTATAAAATGAGAAGAGAGCTTAGTTTCCTTCACTAAGATAAACACACCCCCCTCACCCCCATCTCTCTCTAATTTCTTCCATCAAAACCTATAAAAGAACGTCTTTCTCGATTTCAATTTCTCAACTTCTCATTTTCTTTCCTGATTATTGTCGAAACCCTAGATTATTGAAAGCTCAGAAATTGTGGGCAAATGAGGTTGTGCAGGTCTGATTGAGGACGATCATAGACCAATTGCGTTGAAGGTTGTGGAAAGAGCTGGCGTCGGCATCGACAACGTGGATCTGGTTGCGGCGATTGAGTTCGGGTGCTTGGTGGTGAACGCCCTCACGACCAACACCGTTACGACCGCCGAGCATAGGATTGATCATGTCAGATGGCTCGGCTTTTGGGTCTGTCGATTCTAGGCTGGTATCTTGCCTGGCTTGGGCTGGGTGTAAGCCTATTAGGTTGGGGTGAAGTGATTTGGTTGGGGGCCGGCCTGTTTTGGGTGCTGGGTGCCGAGCAATCGACTCCCAGTGGAACTGCTCTTAGACCACTCGGCCAAACTATCATGTTTTCTCGTTGTCACATCAAACTAATGTTAACAAAAACCAATTCTAATTCATCGACTTCTTTTCTTTTATTCTTTAATACTGAGAGCAGTTCCATCCGTTAAGAAGGACAAAGGGCAAGGTAGTTAAGTTGGCCTTACCATTCACTATAAATAGTACTTGCCTTTGTGCGCTTCAATCTGTTAGGCAAGGGCAAGTCAATTACTATTCACCAGTATAGCTTTTTGTTCTTTAGGTTGTTTTGTTGGCCTTATCCTCCACGTGTTATATTCATTTTAGATTTCCGATAGTTCCCTTCATAACTTTCTACGCATTCACTTGCATGTGATCCCTAAGGCTAAATAGCCAAAATGGTCATTGAGATTTGCATAGCACATCACTTTGGTCCCTGAGATTGAAAATCAATATAAATGGTCCCTATGATTGTCCACCATCCATTATTTTGGTCATTCCGTTAAAAACTCCGTTAAGTGTCCTCTTGGTCGAAAGTTTGGGCAATTTTCAAAGCTTTATAACTCAATCGTTTCTTAACCAAATTCGACCCATAATATATCAAAATGAAGATAAGAAAGTGTAGAACAAGATTATACCTATTTGGAAGCCTAATGGTTGACGGAGATGGCCCGAAAATAGCCTGAAAGGTGACTGGTCTGAGGGAAAATTGGAAAACTCGCTGGAAACTGGGTAAAATTTAAACGTTCATAACTACTTCAATACTCAACGAAATCGGGTGATTCAAGAATGAAAATCATACTTCTCGATGAGAAGAAGAGAATGATAACTTTATTGATGGCTAAGTCGCCGTGGTTTGGCCCAAAAACGGTTCGAAAGTGGCTAACTCGAGACCAAGACAGCCATTTTCGAGCCATTTTCTGACCAAACCACGGCGATTTAACCGTTGAGAAAGGTACCATTATCTTCGTTTCGTCAAGAAGTATGATTTTCATTTTTTAAATCACTCGATTTTGATGAGCATTGAAGAAGTTATGAATGTTTAAAGTTTACCTAGTTTCCGGCGAGTTTTCCAGTTTTCCCTCGGACCGTCACCTTCCATGTTATTTTCCGGCCATCTACGGAAACCATTGGGCTTCCAAATATATATAATCTTGTTCTATACTTTCCTATCTTCATTTTGATATATTATAGGTCAAATTTGGTTAAGAAATGATTGAGTTACGAAGCTTTGAAAATTGCCCAAAATTCCGGCCAAGAGCTCCGGGACACTTAACGGAGTTTTTAACGGAAGAACCAAAATAATGGATGGTGGACAATCTCAGGGACCAGTTCTATTGATTTTTAATCTCATGGATCAAAGTGATGTGTTATGCAAATCTCAATGACCATTTTGGCTAAAAAGCCTGATCCGTAATGGAATAACCCAGTTTCAGGAATTTGATTAACTAGGGGAGGTGTTAATCCAATTCCCTTTCCTTACTTTTTTCCATTCCGAAGTTCTTCGATTCCTCATTATTATCACTGAGAAGTAAACGAAGCATGGTGATAATGGATAAGTAACTGATTAGTTTTGGTGCAACCTGAATCATACAAACAATGAATTAGAGTCTCACTGATTTGTTACTTTTTTCATGCAATCTCTCATGAGTCATGACCCTGCAACGCACACAAACACACATACACTAATGCATGGAGGGCACAAAGACATCCATCGATCGCTTAAATTTTACTTCTTCCCAGTTATGCTCTCCAAACAACTGCCTGCTGTCATATTCTTTGCTCTCAAGGAATGCGAGAGCAAACAATACTAGTCTCAGCAGAACAATTAGTGGACCGGATTATGCAATAGCTCTACAGATGTAAGCTCAAGAACGATGTTAACTGGCTTACGCTTATCAAGCTGCTGAATAATCCGGTCTGCTTACTGTTCTACATCAAACTCAGCAGAAGATGTAAGTTGAAGCTGTCCACACTTCACTTATGCTTTAGTTTAGAAGGATCAATACATTGATTATAGTAAAAATCTTCACACTAATTAAATATCACACCAAACTTTTATCTGCAGGGTGTTGGGGGAAGGGGGGTGTTGAAAATTTCAAGCCCAGAAATTTAACCAGTGTAAATTACAACGTGATGGATCAAACAGAATGCTGCCTGAATCCAGCCTATGCAATTCTTGAGGTGTCGCAGAGGCATCCAATGGACCTATCTTCGGAAGCTCATCATGTCTTTCATCTCCATACTCCCCACCAAAATCATTGCTTGTATGTGAATCTATGACTCCTCTCTGCTCCAATTCCTCTTCTAGTCTTACTTGAGCAGTCGTCTCACAATTCCCATCTTTGTAACTCGATCCATCCACCGTCTGATTCACGAGAGAATCTTCGGTAGGGGCGCCATCTCGAGATGTTCCCACAAGATCATTCAACTTCTGCAACTGCTCAAAATAACCAAAAAAAATGTTTAATGTTGACGACCAAGCTAGAAATTTAGAATGCGATTTCATGAACAACGTCTGGCTCTTTACACATAAATGCAAATCACAATCTGACAGAACAACTTATGCATGCATGTCAAACCGTGATTTTATGTATAAACATGATCGTTCTCACATGAGAGGAGCCAAGTATTTTCCTGATTTTCGAATTATGAGAAACTGAATAAGTTTATTTACTTTACCTGCATAAGCAAGGACTGCTTCTCCTCCTTCAAAGATTCAAACCGAGATGCTAACATGTCATAATCTTCTCTGAGACTTCTCAAGTCTCGCTCCATCTGTTTCGACTTCCATCTAGCTCTTCTGTTCTGAAACCATATGGCAACCTGGCGAGGCTGCAGTCCAAGCTCTCTTGCCAATTGCACCTTCCTCCTCGGCTCGAGCTTCGAGTCTGCTTCGAATATAGACTCCAACAAACTGATTTGTTCGTCGCTAAACCGCCTCGTGTTTGTGCCCTTGTTCTTCTTCCTTTTCGTCGCGAACTGCGGCTCTAGGCCGCTCACATAATCCAAGTTTTCTTCTTCATAGCACTCCTCTTTCCTCCTTTCCATGACACTGGTTCTCGGTTTTCAGTCCGATCTTGGACTTGATTGATATCGACTGGAAATGTTCTCGACAATTGTTGAAGTATTAAGTAACGTTAAATTTATATGTGGATGTGGCTTAGGAATCTTAGTAACGATGTGAGCTTCTAGCATATATAGTAAGGGTTGAAGAGTCTATCTTCTCACTCACGCGGTTGCTTTCTGATAATTGGAAGCTGTTGATTGATAGGTTATCGTAGGCTAAACCAATGGTGTTAGCTAGCGTAAGCCACCCTTCATTTCATAATTTCTTGCCTTGTGGACCTCTCTAATTCGAGAAATTTTTCAGTATGCCGAGAACACAGTTTGATATACAAAGTATCATAATACAAGTGATTAGATTTTTTTTTTTAAGTATCCAATCACTTGGTGTATCAGACTGTGTTTTCGGAAAATTGAAAGTTTCCTCCTGTTCACTCTTATCTTTCTTTCTTTCCCGTCTCTAGAAATACCAGTGTATGTATGTTTCTTGCAAAGCACACAATTTTGGCTTGTGTTTTGTGCTTTTTTTGGGTGGAAATAATGAGAAAAAGTAGATGCATTACACAATCTACAGGGTTTGAAAAGAAGAAACTTGAACTTGGGTTGCTTGTTTAGGTGTCGATTTGTAGTCCGTTGATGCATGTCCCAATTACCATTCACGTACCATATATACTTTTTGCTTTTTGACAATGAACACCCAATAATACAAACACTAGTGTTTCGATTAATTTTTCAATTCAATTATGATAAAATCTTGTCCGTCACCTGGGATATTATTTACAACGGATGAAACTGCATATTCTCTCAACTGCGATATTATTTAATTTATCTAAATCTTAGAC